TCAAGTTGCTTACCATCTTTCTCCCAATTACCCACTGCTATTTTCTGGGTGCCAAACAACCTAAGGAACACTGTCTTTTACATTTATTTCCAGCTCCATACTCCTGCGCTCAAGTTTTCAGCTACGTGCAGCTGTTTGATTCTGTCTGGCATAAACTACAAATACCTTATGTCAAAGAGTGACTGGCAGCGAATGATTTTTCCAATCCTGCATATAATATCTGGCTCATAGGAATGCTGGCTCAATACATTTGTTTTATTAATGAATATTATGTCTCTCAATCTACCCTGTGTAAAACTTCCAATCACCATAGAAAAGCTAGTGGAAAGGGTTCTCTTGTGGTTCATGAGAGACTATGGCTGCCAGAATAGAATCTGGAAAGAACAGATAGATTATTCTGCTCTTCACTAGAAGGATACCCTGCTGGTGAGCCAGGTTGAACATGATTACCCTCAATTATAGAGAAGTAGATATTTTTCCTGTTACATTTTACATTTTCCTTCTAAGCACAGAACTCCCAAGGACATACTTGGCCTAGCCTGAAGTAGGGGCTGATGTGTAACAAGTAAAATGCAACTTCAGGAGGAGAATCATAGTGATTTAATCAGCCACTGAAGTCTAATTCAAGACACCTGCTGCTTTGTTTAACAATAGCAGTCTTCCCAGAACAATACATCTTTCTTTGTTTCCTAGCACTGATGGATAATTTATGCACGGCTTGGAGAACATCGTTTATTATGGGAACTAACTTCAGGCAGAATGGAAGCGATAAAGAAAATAAAAAGGCAGTTAACTCCAGTGTAATGGAGCATTTTAGGCTCTACAAAAGAAGAAAACAAAGCAAAACAAAAATACATGTGGGACCTGAAAATCAGGCCAAGTAGTCATCTTGTATTCCTCCTCTACAAAGAAAAACACTCCCAAAATGGGTGGGATTGCTACACACAGCTGGAACTGAGCCAACACTGAAAACCTGGAGAATCCTGTTACAGTATTAGCTTGAGAAAAGGGTATTCATCTTTGAGCTACTTGGTTCAACTAGTGCTATTTTCACCTAAATTATTTCTTCAAAGCTATACCCCTAATAGCACAATAAATTGCCACTTTTTTCTTTCCTATATCATTTCCATACTCAATCACAGTTCACATTATCAGGACTTTGGCCAGCATTGATGTGTCACGTAGTTATTTGCTGAGGATAGGCAGTCCATGACAGGCACGTATCTGCCAATGCACGTGCCTGTCCATGCAGAATATGCCAAACACATGCATCAGAAATGTCAGAATGGGATAGACATCAGCTGACTGAATCATTCTTTCTCATAGGGCAAGTCATAACATCAGTACATGCAATTTGGGTGTTTTTTTGCCTGCTGTTTCCTCTAATCATGCTTTATGTCATCTCTGAATTACTTGATGAAACACAGTTTAGTGTGCGATGTGTTCATTTAAGTAGACACTGAGTAACAGACTTGCTCCTCACCATATTAAAAACAAAGTGAGAGGCTGACAGGTTAAAGTATTATGATAAGTGAAGTCAGACAGAGAAAGAAATACTGTATAATTTCACTTATAGGTGGAATCTTTAAAAAACCAAATACATAAACAACAAAAAATAAAAACAAACCCATAGATACAGAGAACTAGCTGATGGTTGCCAAAGGGGAGAGGAATAGAGGAATAGGAAAAACAAAACCAATGAGAGCTCACATTTAAAGGTACACAGCTTTTTAAAAATGTTAAACATACGACTCAGCAATTCCCTCCTATGTATATGCTCAAGAGAAAGAAAACAAATGTCTACATAAACCTGTATACAACAAAGTATAGCAGCAGTATCATAATAGTCAAAAAGTAGAAATGACCTTAATGTCCATCAGTTGGTGAATGTATAAATAAAATGTGGTAAGTTCATTCAGTGAAATATTATTTGGCAATAAAAAGAAATAATGTACTAATACATGCTATGATATGGCAGAAACTTGAAAAAAGGTAAAGGCATATTAAAATATTTAAAAGTAAAAGTATCCTGTTCCATTTCCCTCCCCACTTCCAACTTTCATTAATTATATTTCTACTTTTAGTGATACAGTTTTAAAGACACGGAATAAATTAAAAAGAAATACAGCCTACTTGGGAGGCCAACTGATATGTAAACAACAGGAACAAAACAATATGTGGGGATAAATATAACAGAAGCAGGTACAAGATAAAAGAAGGGAACAGAGGCAATTGTTCTGCATAGGAGAACTAGGGAAGCTTGTTGGAGGCAGTGGCATGTCTTCGACATGAATTATTACAGCCATAGTTCCAGTAAGTGAAAGTGCCACTTGCCCATACCCTGCTGAGGAGACAGTTCCAGCCCCTAGGACTCCGCTCTTTTCTCCCTAGCCACAGTTTTCTGAGCCAAAGGTGAGAACCATAGAAGAGGAAAAATTCCTCCTCTACCCTCTTATGCTCATGACTGGAGGCCTGCAAGCAAATTACACTGACAATAGACAGGTTAACAGCAAGAAAAAAACTATTGGGTTGGCCAAAAAGTTCATTTGATTTTTTTTTCCGTAAGATGGCCCTACTAGCGCTTAGTTGTCTCTAACTTCATTTGAAACAATTTTGTTAGGTTGTATTGTGGCAGCTGTCATGTAAGTGTGCATTTTTTAAAAAGCTATCAAAATTGGTGAATTTTTGTTTATTTTAATATTAAAGACAGAAGAAAATATGCAACATTTTTGGCATATTATGCTTTATTCTTTCAAGAAAGGTAAAAATGCAATTGAAATGCAAAACAAGATTTGTTCAGTGTATGGAGAAGGTTCTGTAAATGATTGAATGTGTCAAAAGTGGTTTGTGAAGTTTTGTGCTGAAAATTTCTTGCTGGACGGTGCTCCATGGTCAGATAGACCATTGAAGTTAATAACGATCAAATCGAGACATTAGTTGAGAACGATCAGTGTTGTACCATAAGGGAAATAGTCAACATACTCAAAATATCCAAATCAATAAAGTTATTCATGAAAATGAAAAATGTGTCTTTTCTTCCTTTGTTTTATCATTGTTCAAGTCCAGTTGTCTCCATTTTCACCCCACCATGCCCCTATGCCCCTACAAAGATCTTGCTGCAACAAGGAAAGACAGTGATATAACAAGTCAGTGTTTAGGCCCAAGTACCCAACACAAATGCTAGGAAACTGAAATGATCATTTTCTTCTTATAAACTAAAAATCATAAACCATGTACACAATTGTGTTGTTGTACTTGAATTCAAATTTCAGTAATAAAATTGTACAATGAACCAATGCGGTGTTTAGGACAAGGCTTTGGAATAGGCAAACCTGTATGTGACTCCTGATGCTTTGGGTGGGTTTCTTAGCCTCCGAAAGCCTCGGTTTCTCAATATAGACCATGAACATAATTATGCTACCTCACCGATTTATAAAGATAAAAAGTATATGTACATATATAAAGACAATGTATATGTACATAAAGAGTTTGGCTGTGCTTATTATAATGAGGCAGGATAGAAACAAGTTAGGGAAAACTTCTGACAAGTGAAATGAGGAAGTAGGAACAATATCGCTGGCCAACAAGCCAGTAGGTCCTCTCACAGAGCCCCCACCTTCACACATAATCAAAGGGAAATGGTTTATATTTAACCCCTACACTCCCCTCTGCTTCTTCTACCTAAGGTAGCTACTTTGCATGAGTTCACACTCACTGCTTCTCCCTCCCTCTAAGTGCTGTGTGGAGAGTTGAGCTCATTTGTTATCGAAGAAGGGTAGAGTATCATTTTTAATCAGTATTTTGAAAGGATACTAAATAGGCATTTATAAATTAAGAATCCATAAATATTAAATTATATACATTTATTATCCTGTTTTAACATTTATAAAGTTCTTAAGGCAACATTCCTACTGATAACTTTTTCCTTAGAGTGCTACATTTTAGGGAGGTTTATCATATTCCTCTGTTCTCTTCCCCTTTTTTTCATCTTAAAATTAAGTGTCTTCCAGATGCATGCACTTTTTTAAAAATTTTATTTAGTTATTTTTCAAGTACAGTTTTTTTTGTCTATTTCTCCCATTCCAACCTCCCCCGCCCCTTGCTCCCCACCTCCCTCCCATTTCCACCCCCCTTAGTTCTCGTCCCTGTGTCCTTCCTATTTGTTCCTCCAAATTCCTCCCCCTTTTCCCCCTTAACTTCCCTTCCCTCTCCCCTCTGGTCACTGTCCCCTTGTTTTCTATTTCAGTGTCTTTGTTTTTTTTTTTTCTGCTTGCTTATTTGTTTTGTTGTTTAGCTTCCTGTTAAAGGTGAGATCATATGGTATTTGTCTTTCAGCACCTGGCCCATTTCACTCAGCATAATGCTTTCCAGTTCCATCCACGTTGTTGCAAAAGGTAGTAGCTCCTTCTTTCTCTCTGCTGCATAGAATTCCATTGTGTATATGTAGCACAATTTTTTGATCCATTCATTTACTGATGGGCACCTAGGTTGCTTCCAACTCTTGGCTATTGTAAATTGTGCTGCTATGAACATTGTGGTGCATAGGTTCTTTGATATTAATGTTTTAGGATTCTTAGGACATAATCCTAGCATGAACTCTTCAACTTAAGCAAAAGAATCACTAAAATCTTCTTAAATTTATTTTTTGTCCCTTAATTTGAATTCTATAAGTTTTAACTTAGTTTTTTTTTTGAGAAACTTGAATTGTTTAATACTGTTTTTATATGATAGCAAGGCAAAGACTTAAAAAAAAGAATATATCAAGACCAAATAATCATAACAATATATCATATTTATCAAGAAAAACAGAGTACAGGCCCTGGCTGGTGTAGCTCAGTGGATTGAGCGCGGGCCTGCAAACCACACGATCGAGGTTTGATTCCCAGTCAGGGCACATGCCTGGGTTGCAGGCCAGTTCCCCGCAGGGGACTCACGAGAAGCAACCATACATTGATATTTCTCTCCTTCTCTCCTTCCCTTCTCCTCTAAAGATAAATAAATAAAATCTTTAAAAAAAAAAACAGAGTACACTCCAACTGCATGCGAGAGCAACCTGGAGAGACTTTGACAGCTCAGGTCAAAGAGCTGCAGCTACCTGCAGCTACCACTCGCATTTCCTATATCATCTCAGGAAAAAAAAAAAAAACACAGAGTACACATTTGGAAGCACAGCTTCATATTTCGCAAACAAGATCAGTCACACTGACCTGGCTTTAGGTAAATGTTTTAAAAACAGGTAGATGTTTTCCATAGATTCCTTATTTAAAATTTTTATGTTCTTACTTCATTTTGTTTCTCTGTGCGACAGTCAATTAAGCAGATAATGAATATATGAATTAAAAAAAATTCAATCCCATCATGTATAGTCTTCAGGAGGATGGTTTTATGCGTTTTTAAAGAGGGCATCTGAGTAATCATCTCAATCCAAAACTTCAGGAGCTCTGGAGATATTTTTATGCCTAGAATTGGCTCGTGATATTGCTGGTGCCAAGAATGTAAGATGAGCTCAGCCTCATGAAATCTTGCTCTGCACCCTCACACCTGAAAATAATGAACTTTAACCTGTCAGCCTCTCACTGTTTTTAATATGGTAAGAAGAAAGTCTGTCACTGACTGTCTACTTAAATGGCCACATCTAAGACACTAAATTGTGTTTCGTCAAGTTATACAGATGTGAGCCCTGGCTGGTGTAGCTCAGTGGATTGAGCGCGGGCTTGCGAACCAGACAATCGTGGTTCGATTCCCAGTCAGGGCACATACCGGGGTTGCAGGCCGGTTCCCTGCAGGCCAGTTCCCAGCAGGGGATGCACAAAAGGCAACCATACATTGATGTTTCTCTCCCTCTCTCCTTCCCTTCCCCTCTAAAGATAAATAAATAAAATCTAAAAATTAAAAAAAAAAGTTATACAGATGTGACATAAAGCATGATCAGAGGAAGCAATAAAAATTTAAGTTGCATGCACTGATACTATGACTTACAATATGAAAAGAATGATTCATACTCTCAAGATGTACAAAACTGTACAGTGTGAGTACCACAAGCACAGTAAATTTTATTCTTTGGTACTTGATGTATTCTAAGTGCCTGGAACAGTTTCTGGCACATACAGGTGTAAATGTATGTCAAGTAAATAAATGATCAAGACAATATAGATGCAAAAAGGGCATCATTTCTAGCAAATTCTTACATTCCCTGATTCATGACTATCCTAGTCCTCTCATATGAGTAAATATGCCTTGACTTTTTATTTTTTAACATTTTATGAACTAGTGCATCTTGCATCCTGAGATCCTAAGGAAAATCAATAGGGAACTTTAAACTGGAGAAAGAAAGGGGGATATTCATCATCTTATGAACTGAACAAAATTTAGGATAGAGTGCCCAAGATAGGGCCCAAAAGGCAATAGTGACTTGAGGAAAGAAGAGGCAGACATCTAAAACAAACATTACCGGCTATGTAACTTTGCCCAGGGTCACCTGGATTCCTGCCCCACAAGCAAAATGCGTTTAAGTAAGTAAAGTACAAAATCAGACTGAAAAGTTCCTCTACCCTATACCAATTGATAAAACTACTGTACAAAGAAAGATGAGATATGCAATGACTGCAGAGAATTTGTTTTTATCTTAGAGCAAAATAATTTTGACTTACTTAAACATACCGTATCTAAAGTTTTGAAGAATCAAATGTGTGGCCTATTTTCAATGGCTATTGGCTGTTCCAGAACAAAGTACTTTAAAAGATGCATTTATAACAAGCATACATCAGAGTGGCATTATATAAAATCGGTGGTAAACTTGAAAACTGACCGTAATCCAACTTCTGTCAATTAAAATGATAGCAAATATAAATTATAAATAAATTATGGAACAAAATACTAAGTCAATTTCATTAATAAAATTGGGGGAGCAATATTATATTATCTTTTTGTTTTAGCCTTTGCTTGAGTTTATGATATCTAGCACATCTGCAGATGCATGTTGCAAAATTTTATAACCAAAATAATGACACAGCCCTTCAAGACATGTACAAACAAGTAGTGTAATTTTCTAGACCATGATGTCTAGTACAGTCAAGTATTACAAGAAACAAAAAGTAACCAGTATGTCATTGATGTGTATGACTCGCAGGACATTAGTCAATGCATTTTACAATAAAGAGTCTGATCCACTGATGTAATGGGAAACCAGAGAATTTTTCTTAGCAAATTTTCCAACCTCATACTTTTACACTTGAGAGAAACATATGGTTCAATACTTAACAGACTTAGTATTGGTAGGAGGCCTGTGAAAATTGTTTGCAGCCACATCTTTATGGCATCTTTCAGAACTCTTTTAACAACTTCCTTTCTTCCTAATGCTAAATACAGATATAGTCCTATTTTAATCAGTATAAATATTATCTAAAGGAACTTTTTATTTTTACTAAAAAACAAGCTACTATAGTTCAGTTGTACAACTGTCGAAGAAAAAAAGAAGAAGCAGCAGAAGCAGAAGAAGAAGAAATATCCTGCTTCCTTTTGTTACTACTTTTTGTTATGCCAGTTCTGCAAGTGGTTTTGAAAATGATTATTAGGTGAATACAACACCTAATAATTTGCATACAAGTTGTATCTTCCCTGGTTGCCTTCACATTTTCAAATCTCATTTCTTTCTCTGCTATCCAAACACATCACTTTCTGCTCCTACCATTGCCAGACTTTAGTATCACACACATCTGTCTGTAGAATGTGCCTGTAGTTCTACCACTCAGAACCTAACAGATATCCTTATACAATAATACAACAACAAAAAGACAAGTAAAGACAAAAGACAAAAATACCAACAAAACCAAAACGAAAAGAGTATGGGACAGGGGTGGGGAAGAGGAGAAGTGGCGGGAAGGACACTATATCCTATATTACGATTGACACAAGGACAAATCTCAGAATATGATATTTAATAGAATATGGAAGCCTATTTCCTTGTCTGTATTACCTCATGCATTCCCCTATTCCTAGAACAAGGAGGGACAGGCCAAGAGCAGAGACTGTCTGTTTTACAGTTTTTTCCTTTGATGACAGTAAATTTTCTATGAAGCTAATTAATTTGAGGCTTTGGGACAGTTCACTTGTGTGGGCTTAGGGGTGTTCACATGTCAGATGCTTTCCCAAAATTTGCAAAAGGAGATATTCTAACTGCAATTATAACTAAAGTAAAAGTATATCCACTAGAGCTTCTCACACTTTCCCTCATGGTGTGATGTTGGAGTAGCTGTAAGTAGATTCAGCTAAGAAAAAGTTGAGTTGAAGATAAATTTAGTTTGGGTTTAGTTGGAATATTCATGTGGTTTGTAATTGTTCCTGAATTAGTTAAGTTTTTGTTAGCCATCTCAGTATAGGAATAGCTCCCAAGAATACCACTAACTCAGCCATGGCATCAGGTGTCTTCTGATCCTAAGACAGAGTGCCAGAGGTTGTATCATGATGTGAACTGTGGACGATACAGAATTACAATTATCAGGTAATGGAAAAGAAACTAAGTTTGATATGTATGGAAGCAGAAACTAGGCTGGGGGAAATCATTCTAGTCGGTAGCTGTGTATGATTATAAGTGGAGGGTTTAATTCTCATCAATGTTAAACAAAACAGAAGGTCTCTTCTATCTAGAATGAACTCAACAATGCTGCTTGCATAATTATAAAAGCACTATATACTTTTCTCCCATTGTAATGAAAATCAGGTGACACAGAAGTTATCATCCCTGTGTTCATGGGGAACAAACCTATAATTGTACTACAAATAGTAAGTGCACATGAGTGTGTGTTTTATGTATCTCAAAGTGTTATCTCATGAATACACTGATAAAAGATTTAAATTGCTTGTTGATTTGATATGAAATACTGAATCAATAACGATAATATAAAACTCATAAGACTCTACTACAATGAGGACATCAGTGACAATTTAGAGTATTAAGATTAGCCCCATACAATAGGATATTTGAAATTCTTCAAATATTACTGGTTATAAGTGAAGAAAACTTGATACATATTTTCCCAAAAATTTACATGAAATTACAATAATGAGCAGTGAGATTGAAAGAAACTTTTCTAAACTCTCAATAAAATTTTTATTTTTGATCAACCATGCTAGCAGCTATCTCTGTTATTTCTATAGAAGAAAATAACAAAATTATTATTATATGAAGAAACTATCAAAGAGCATGCTGACAAGAAGTAGGAAAAAATTGTAGAGACTTTTCAGGCAATTAATTAACAAAAATATAATTTTTCTAGATTTTGCCATTTCTGTGGTATTTATCAGAGTTTTAAAATTTAAATTTGTTTTTATTCCCTTTCTCTATTCATTTTCACACCCACTTGTTGTAACTTAGTATTCTTTTTCTTAAAGAGTATCCCAAATTTTACAAGCTTCAGGTCACATGAAACATGAATCTGCCTGTCCATTGCCTGGCTGAGAGCCTGGCATATTTGAAGTTTATTGAAACAGTATGTAGGAATGGCTGTTGGCCTAAGGGTAGTGACATGACACTCAGTTTAATGAAGGAGAGGTCAGCCTATGCTAAGGCTCTTTGGCATATCCAGTCTGCAGGCTTGACCAGTCTGGAAACTGTGATGGTACCACACCTGTCAATAGAGATACTGAACTCAGGGAGTGGGAAGCCAAAATGGCAGAGGCAGAGAAAATGAGGCTAGAGACTGTCATATGGTGTCACAGTCAAGAAGCAATATTTTTCCTCATGCTTTCATTCTTCATGAGTGCTAAAATTAAAATAAGTTTCTATCTCCAAAGAATATGGAAATTAATTTTCATGTGTTTGGAAATTTATTCCTTTGAGTTATGTTTCTTAGTTGGAGAGAACGATTCCTCTTCTTTCCCTCTAACTGAATAATGGGAAACATATGTGAGTAGGATTACATCCAGTCCCAAGATACCAACATTTGGAAGTGACTGAAGTCTTCCACATAGAGTTCCAAGTTAAAATACCTTACTTGAATAAAACGTGTGTTGTAACCTGATATTGCTATTTTATTCATGTCCTACTTGACAATATTCTAAAATCTAGATACATGGTTGGGTTAACAGCTTCCTGATGGAGCTGCTTCTGCAGCACCAACACCTAGA